GACGGAGTTGATGGGGTTGGAGTGGGATCATGTGTAGGAGGGTTGTGGTATCCACCACCACCGGAAGGAGGCTTCGATGGAGTAGGAGTGTATGGTGGATTTCCGCAGTTCCCTGGTTTTGGGCTGTGTTTTCCACCACCATGTCCATGAGAGGGTGGTTTTCCTCCATGGCTTCCTCCCGAACCATGAGGTGGTGGAGTTCCATAAGGTGGACTCCCTTGCGAACCTACAAGGAGAAAATGACTGGATGAGTAGAAGAAAAGTAAGGTACACAGCTTGTCACTGATTTGAATAGTTCTAGCCACTTTTTGACACAACCACGTTGTTTAGAATCTTCCATTTACAAAATATATAGCCTCACAAATTTCCATGTGGGTAGCGGCCAGGAATATCTCAACACTAAAATATTCCGGAACCGTGGTATGCGAGGAGGAGAATGTGTGTGTATGTGTTGTGAGTGATTGAGAGACCTGAGGGGGGGCTTCCTGTATATGGGTCTGGAGTGTAATTATGCTTCTGATCTTCGTTGCTTGCAGACGTCAAAGGAATCGCCATATTTTGAGAAACCAACCCAACAATCAGAGTCCATAAGAGGAGAGAAGCTAACCTTCTTCCCATTGTCCTCGTATCTGTATGTTTTACTCAGAAGTGAGAAGGGAAAGGAGGACGATTGATTGTTGATGAAAATGCATGAGAATTGAAGGCCAAGCGATGCATATAAAAGATGAAGTGAGGTACAGAGTGAAGTAAATTTTAGCAGGTGGAAGGGTATGTGGTTAGTTGATGTATTGCAGGTGCATTTACTGGCTTATTTACTTCTTGCATTGTTTGCAATAATGTTTGAACATTGGAGTCGACAATGCATATGAATTCAAATAAATTTTGTCTGACACTCACAAAGAAAACTCTTCCTCTCATTACCTCTCTCAATTTCACTCTCCAATCACCCCCCTCCAACACCATAGAATACGGGGCACGTTTCTGTCTGTCATTAGTCCATTACTACGTAGTAATTTCATGTCCCATTTCCCTTTTAAAATTATTAATAGGCTGCATGCTTGGACCTGATTTATGACTAAATACGTGGAGGCATACAGATGCAACATCTAGAGTCTGCGCCATACCACACGGGGGATGTGCATGGCATGAGATGTTATCTGCTCGTGATCCGATGAACTTGAAGAGCAACTACTCTTAGTTGATGGTGCTGCCTTATTCATATATTCCAGACAGCGAAATGGATATTTTCTTAGGGAAGTTGTGTATTAAAAATCCATGTGTGTATATGCACGACTTTCTGGCATTTTAGGCCCCGCTACTTTGAACAGTACCATTTTTTTTTTCTCCCTCGTCTTATTACATTCATTTGATTGTCACTAACGACAGAGTTGAAATTTTAGTGTACTTATCTAACCTCCATTAATTATGGAGTTGAGTTAACCTAAACGTAGCTCAATAGTTAAGATATAGGTCACCTTACCTATAGATTGAAGATTTGAATCTCCACTCGCAAATCATAATGCTATTTTAATGGAGTTTTGAACAAGCTGCTCCTTTTGGCCTTATTTCCTTGTATCCTCTATCTAAGGTATGTCCTCTTGGTTCCAACTCAATTTTGCTTCTTTATACAAGGAGTTTATTGTCGGCAGGAAAGAAAACTTGTCTCTACATTAGAAAAGAAGGGCGGTTGTGTTACCCAGTGGGGTCTATTTATTTATTAAATTTACTGCAAATAAATCAATAGAAAGTGAGAGAGTTCCTTCTTATTAGTAGACAGGTTCTTAATTTCGATAATGCCTCAGTTTTACAGACTTGCAAAAGTAACCCAAAGAACCTTTAAGATTGTTATTAGCTATAGCACTTAAAAGGAAAACTTTCCCTCATCTTGTTTCTTATAGAAAAAATACATTATATGATGCTGCAGTTCTTTATTTTTGGTAATGGAAAATACTTGAGTCTTTACCTATCTCTATGCTGACCATCATTGAAGGTTTGACAACTCTAATGGTGATCAACAAGAAAGAGGCTAATTAGTCTGACACCTTCTTCCCAATATCAATTAGTTGACCTAATTAAGTGCCGGAGGAGCCTGATCTCAATTAACGCGGGATGGGACCAGGAAGTTAGGGGTATCATTTGATTTCCCAGCGCCACATTCTTACATGCATAGCTTTCATTATCTTCATTTTGGTCGTCAATTATTTTCCATTATGGTTCAGATCAATTATAAAAGAATAAGATTTTGTAGGTGTGATTGCGGAACCAAATTGGCCAAAACACTCGATCAATTATTGTCTATTCATGGTTCCATTCCATGGCTTGGTTACCATATAAAGCATAGAATTTTACACAGTTATATTGTCTTTTCCACTTCTTAATTGCCTCCATTTTCCATCAACATGAAAGAGACGAAGCAAATGCATTCACAAATTGCAATAGCCAGAACCCAGAAAATCAAGGTGGTGCTTCTGTTAGGTACCTTATTATAATGTGAGTGAATTTCTAGTTACAGAATCCTGTGGAATTTAAACTTGAAACAGGCCTCTATTGTGGTGATTGGAAATGGATGTGTCCACTAAAATTTATGACTCTGCAGAGATGTAGGTGAGAGTCGCTCGCATATTATAGGAGAGAAGTAAAGAAGGGTAGACCTGAGTTGTCATTAATTATTATGATTCTGAGAGATATTAATCAATTTTCAGCCCTGTATTTGACTTGTTTTTTAGGCCTGCGAATGAGGAGGAACTAGGAAAAGGCCTCTGGGAATCATCAATAAGAATTGATGGTTAATAGCTGTCGGTAAGAATTAAGAAATGAGAAAACTAATATATATACATTTTTGTGTTGTAGTACAGCTAGGCTCTGCATGGAAGGATAATTCAAATCAAGTTATTAACAAGAGACAACGTCACTAATGTTTGCTAAGCAAATAAGCATACTTTAATACTATACAATTGATATGGTACGGTAATGTTTTGTGAAAGTTTTGAGCTAGTATTGCTAAAATGCTTTACAAATTATATCTCACTTGAAATGATGTTAACTTTTGAGGGAATGTTTAATCTTCATTATTGTGAGACTCAAATTATTCAGTCTTGAATGATGTGGCAGATGGGATTATATTGTACATTATCCATCTTCTCTTGTACAAAATGAATCTTAGAATTTATATTCTAAAATACTTCATATTGTTGTTGTAGAATTTTGGTTGAAGAACTAATTGGATTGGACTAATGAAAGACATCAACAATGCGAGAGGAGAGACAAACATGGTCAAAGAGCCATATGAAAGACATCAACAATAATGCTAGAGCATGTGGTCGACGAGTAGTTACAAGAAAAAAGGTACTCACAACATAACACCATTACAATGTCTTTCAAACACGTCCCATTAATGCCCAAGTCATATTAGACAAAGTCTCAAGTTATGTTGTGTTATTTTGTAATGTAATAGTAAGTAAACCTTGAGTGACAATACTTATTAATTATAGGAGTGCAGTGATCACAGCTAGAGTCTTAATTAAGCAATTTGTTAGGATAATATCAAAGCTGGTATAATGCAAGTGAGTCTACAACCATTGATTGATAATATGATAGGTATTAATTAATTATGATGTGCCACACTAGCCAGGACAATAACATCAAGCGTAATGTAATGCTACTAGCTAAATGTATCTTTCTTCCTCTTGTCACATTAGATCTAATATAATTTACGGTCGTTGGTTGGATGGTAAATAAATGTTGACTAAAGATTATGACCATGCTGAGTCTTAAGTCCTATATGGCCTTCTCAAGCTTTGCTTCTCAGATGACCCATGACCCATTGAGTTTGGTTCACCAGAGTCGTGTTTTGGAGAGTGAATAATCTTTTACTATACTGACCAGGGAGATGAATGCAAAAAAGAGAATATATTTTCCCTCTAAATAAAAGGCTGTCAAACTTTTAGTGGTGATCAATAGGAAGATATATAGGTGCTGACTGGTAAGCACCTAAATATTGTTCGCTCGACTCTTTGATCAAATAGATGGAGATAAGTGAGTTTGTTAGTTGGTAGGGGAAGTTGACCTAGTAAGGTGCATGTTGCAAATTTAAGCATAACATTAATAATATGTAACCAAATTTCAAATGCTCTTTTGTGCATAGATGACTTGCACTCCAATGTACAGATTCTTTTAGTACAACAACATGTGAAGATATAGATTCGAACCTACGATCTTTTTTATTTGGGATATATATCTTAACCAATTGAGTTATTCTGCTTAGGTTGGAGTCCGATGTGCAGTTTTAAAAACTATGTCGATTTATGAATTTAGTATTAATTAATATCATCGAAGAGCAGTGAGTAAGACTATACTTATTCTAAAATAAAGATATGGCTATATTTTAATACTTACTAGGGTATTTAAAAAATTAATATATGGTTGTTTCTGTGTAACATACTTCATTATGTATGTATATTAAGCCATGTTATAATCCACCAAAATATAAGGCGGCATATGTGACTTTTTTTTATGAGTTCTCTACAAATACCTATTTTTTATACTTCGTCTGATAACGAAATTAAATTTGACTGTATTACATTTGTAAATATATATTTGTATATAGATATAATTGTGAACATAATACACTTTTTTTTTAAATAAGAAATATAGTATTTCTGTATTAAAAAAAAAAAATAACACTGAATATCTCAATCATGTATCCCTATTCCATGGATATTTCAAGTGTTTGGATAGAACATTGATTCATTTTGATGGTTTTGTTTTTGGAAGTTATTAATCTCTCTAATGGCAATACGGCACATGCAATGCCCACGATTCTAGCTTTGCGATAGCTTAGTTATGAAACTCATGCTTCTTCGTCAACTTCAAACGGAAGATTTCGACCGTTGATTCATTTAAATATTCAACCAACATCAATGGTGATTGGTTGACTTTCTAGACGTATCAACTTCTTCTGTTAAGGTGGAAAATTATGGTGTCGATCAATTGTTGTTTAAATATGTGATTTCTGATCTCTCCCTCTTCCCAACACAATCTGTCTCTCAAATTCTTCAGATAATGGCTCAAGAATTTTGCTGTTTTCTGTTGCCACTGTTCTCCATTTTAGCTGCAATACTAATTATGTTCATTTTTCTCTTTTCAAAACCGAAAAGAAGCAGTAACGGAAGCAAGAAGCTACCACCTGGGCAAATGGGTGTTCCCTGGATTGGAGAAACAATGGATTTTTACAGAGCCCAACGGAACAACAGATTGTTCGAGGATTTTGTTGGACCTCGAGTGGCTAAATATGGCAAAATGTTCAAAACAAGCTTGATGGGGTCGCCAACAGTGATCGTAAATGGAGCTGAAGCCAACAGATTCTTCTTGTCCAATGAGTTCAAGTTGGTGGTAAGCTCGTGGCCGTCGGCCTCAGTTCAGTTGATGGGCAAAGAATGCATCATGCAGAAGCAAGGTGAAACACACCGCTGCCTACGTGGGCTTATTGGCGCAAGCCTTGCAAGTTCTTGTCTCGAGGCTATGATGCCTAAACTGTGCACTACGATCCAGTTTCATCTCGCCACCACATGGCTTGGCCATGACACAATTGCTCTGTTCCACTCCGCAAAAGTCTTGACATTTACAATAGTGTTCGAGTGTTTGTTGGGTATCAAAGTAGAGCCAGATGTGTTGACGACGTTCGAGAGAGTTTTGGAAGGAGTTTTTGCACCACCAATCAGGTTGATAAACTATCGTTGAACCCAAAAATTGTAAATTTAGAATACGGGATCTTCTACTTTCATACCAAATTAAATTATCGTTGAGTTCAAAAGTTAAAACAGATAGATTAGGATAGATTTAATCATTTATTCATATTCTTAAGACAGATTTCCAGGCTCAAGATTTTTGAGAGCCAAGAAAGCAAGGTTAGAGATAGAGAAAATGCTGAGGAAAGTGGTGAGAGAGAAGAGGAGGAAAATTGAAGGAAAGCTAGAAGAAGAAGAAGAGGGTGGATCATTGCTTTCAAGGATGGTGATGGCGATGATAAGGGGGGAGATTAGTGAAGTGGAAGTCATAGACAACGTGGTTTTGCTTGTTTTTGCAGCCCACGATACAACCTCGTTTGCCATTGCCATGGCTTTCAAAATGTTGGCTCACCATACAGACTGCTACACACTTCTTCTTCGAGGTAACCTTGCCTGCTTGCTGTATTTTTTGTGCCGTAGAAAAAGAAAAAGTTATGTTTCGTGATTCATCAACACTTCATAATAATATGAAATATTTTAACTATGTGATTAGTTTTTTAATATAGTGAGCTGCAAAAACAATTTTGATGATTCGAGTGGGAGTTAAGATGTATAGAATTGTAAAGAAAAGTGCCTTTACTTCTTTATAGAACACGATGACATACTGAGAAGTAAGGGAGAAGACCAGAATTTGACGATGGAAGATATAAAGAAGATGAAGTATACTTGGCAGGTAGCTCGTGAGACCATGCGGCTGTTTCCTCCTATATTTGGTTCTTTCAGGAAAGCGATTTCAGACATTGAATACGAAGGATTCTTCATTCCAAAAGGATGGAAGGTGAAGATGCCATTAATCCTTCTGCTTCTTCTTTTAATGAACTGAAAATCCTGCAGTCAAATTGTAGTCCAGAAACGACTGTCCTTTTTTCCTGAAATCATCTTGGTTTCGTGCAGGTCTTGTGGACGACGTATGGAACGCATTACGAGGAAGAGTATTTTGAAGATCCATTGAGTTTCAAGCCAAGCAGATTCGAGGAACCTGTTTCCCAGTATGTATATGTCCCATTTGGAGGAGGGCCAAGAGCTTGTGCGGGCTACCAGCTAGCCAAATTGAACATCCTCATCTTTATACACTTTGTTGTGACTCGTTATAATTGGAGTTTAATCCATCCGGACGAACCAATCATAATGGATCCTCTCCCTTTCCCTTCTCATGGAATGCCAATCAAGATATCTCCAAAATCAGAAGTTTGTACCAATATACAGCAAATGTAGTCTCATTTCTCTCTCTATGACAAACAAAAAATGTTCAAGAAGATGCGTTCATGAATCATCAGTAAAAAACGGCATTTCAATTTCAGATGAACATCCATTCTCCTTTCGGTGTGGGTAAAAAAGGAGCATGCTCATAGAAAACTCATACTTCGAAGCAACGTAAAGTACAAAGATGCACCTTGCAACTGAAGAGAGTGTAAAACCTCAAGATATCATAACATATTTTTTGCATAATTGTGATTCTTTGCAACATGAGACATCGAGATGTGATAACAGGAAACCCTCCTACATTTCGATAACTTTGCTGATTGAAAAATACTAAGTCTACATATGAATTATATTCAGCTCAGCGGCAAATACCATAAGCTAACGAGTGGCCATTGGACAAAGAATGATTCCTTTCAGTCGTTAATGAATATCTACAGGGCAAAATTTTCATAATACTAAAGAAGTTACAGATCTTTAATGCACTGTTGGGTGTCTGGCAATAGACGATGACAAATAGGTCTTACTCCTTTCTTAAGCCAACGGTTCACAAGGTATATTTCTAATTTCCTTACCTGCGGTCACAAAATTCACAGAATAGAGTGAACAATGGATCAGCATCTCTACCGGTCATGTACTAATATGAATGCATTCTGATAATGTATATGGACTATGGTCATTTTGGATGTCTTTTATTCTTGGTTGTCAAAAACCATTAGCGGTACACCGAAATATAGAGACCTAGGTATTGTAGGTCGGGACGATATTTTCCCAGCCCTTTCCATGAACACCCCTTTTTTCAAGTCACACCTTGGCTTATGACCTTCTTGGAGCAACTTTTGGGATGAGTTGGTGACATTTCAATGATTATAATATCAATAATGTCCAATGATTTTCAACCAATGCAATGCATTTACTGCCTACTTAGACTGCAATCAAAGAGAGAGAAAAGATACAAGAGGACCAACCTGCTTAACAACAAACGTCTCCCCAGCACCACTCAAAGGTTCAGTTAAGATAGTCAGAAAACCATTACGATTTCCAAAAACCACATCTGTGAATGGTCGATCACCTACCTGAGAAAATATAGATTTTCACTTTTAAATTATAACTAACGCAAAAGACAAAAGCATTGAAGTAGTTCACCTGATTCTTACCATAATAAGTTGTGAAGAAGTAAAACCAAAGTGTTTCTCAATTTCTTCAGCTGTGCCAGCAGGCTTCTTCACCCCTGGGTCAAAATGCATAGACAATGTCTCATATGTGCAATCAAGAAACAACCTTCCATACGCATAAAAAGTAATAATATTGCCTATATTTACCATGTGATCCATTATTAGCATTGACCCCAACATCAGTTCATACTTCATTATGTAGAAACCAAAAGATTTTTTACAATATTTCATCCATAAAATGGAATGACGAAAGCTCAAGGTTCAAAGTCTCTACTTTCAAGCACTAAAAGGAGGTGGTTTTGCAACATGACGTTCATCCACTAATATGTTATAATAAGTGGAAATGATACAAGATATAAGCTGTAGTCCTCAGCAGCAGGTATAAATTTCGTCGTGCATAAATACATGTTTCAGAAATAGGACTAAGGATGGAAAAATCACACTCACTATGCCTTATAACTCTAATTCCAGTCGAGCTCTCGAGCGCTTTAGCTTTCGAACCATCGTGATCATACTCATAAAGCCCTAAAGCATGAGATAACGTGAAAGTAAATGCTCACATTGAGGGCAAAAACAAACTATTAATGCTATTCAAGTGAGCACACTGTAAACGAATTGAACCTATATTACCAGCAGAGTTGCTGAACACAGCAATATTCTGGCCAAAGACCGATTTACACTGTTCAAGTGAGGATTTAAGAGGTGCCCAAATTGTCAAACAGTAAGGAGCGGTAATAGTATTGTCCTTATCAAATACGACACCCTTGAACCCCCTTCTGTGCAGTTCATCCCAATCAATGTACCTCACATCAGGCACGAAAACATGAGGGAGCGCCAAATGCCGGTCTCTAGTAATAACAGCTGCAGAAGAAACAATGCCTTCTATATTCAATCTCTGGCCTATTGCCGCTTTCAGGTTCGCCCACCACATATTTGTCAAAAGTCCCCTGCCTTTATTGGCGCTCCTCTTCTGATCCTCTTGTCCCAGATCTTCTTTCTGATTCTGCGCTCCTGGGTTTTTGTCAGGAGCGTTCTCAGAGTTAACAGACAAGTAGAACTGCTGAAAAAGCCTCTGGGTTCGATTCGGGTCGGGCTCGGCGTTGTTGGGGTTGTGATTTTTGCTGCAACTGGTTGCTGGAGTTGGTGTAAAAGAAGGGACACATAAATCATTGAACTGAGAACAATTTCTAGCAAATGAAAGGGATGCGAAAGATGTATGTCTTCTTGGGAGACGAGGGTGGTGGAAGGGAATCGAGCGAGAACAAGAGCAACTGGGCAGAGAAACTGCACAAATAGAATGCGTTATCATGTTAATTTTTCTCCCTTCTGATATAAAATCACAATCTGGAATATAAAATTTCTTTGTGGGCTTCAAATGTGGAGATGGGCCTGCTCTGGTTATCATGCAAAGCCCAAATGGATGTCGTTTTGGATCTCCGAAATTTCGGTTAATTAGGAGGAGCCCACAACCAAGGGCCAAACAGAAGCCCACCAATGCATTATTTATTATTATTATTTTTTTTGGGACGAAACAACAAAATAAAATTAGGGCTTGGACAAAAGCCATATTATAGAACCACTTGTTTTCTATGATTTTTTTTTATTATTTCTTATCCACGACTCATCAAGGCTATAACACTTTTTTAGGTTGAACCTTTAATTCTCTTTCACTTATTTGAACTATAATATTTTGTTATTAAAGTAATTTGTTTCTTAACATCTAATGTATATTACTTCTTTCACAATAAAACATTATTTTTTTATAATTGTTTTATATAATTATATTTTAATATCTAAAGGTATTTCGCAAGCATAATTCCTAAAATTTTGAAATACTAGTCCTTATTGGGAAAATAATTATTTGACACGATTTTATGGATAACAAATATGATAATACTCTATTGCACCTTCCTTAAAAAAACATATGTACTCTTTAGGACTAAATGTTGATAAAAGTTTAAGGATTAAAATTAAAATTTAAAATAAAATGAATGAAATTTCATCGTCTAAAGTTTAAAGGAAAAAAAAAGGTATTTCTTTGAATAATGATCCAACTTATCCAAACCAATTGAACATTTTCCTCCTTCTCAAGTAAGACAGTTTCTTTAACCAATAACCATTTGGTTGAGACATGAAATAGGGGTAGATTAAGAACTGACTTGAGTAATATTTTTGAATTAAACATTTTCACTAATACTTTTCTAAAAGAAACATTAAAAGATATGTCAAAGTATCTTCATGTATAATTAAAAGAAGAGATTTTAAAACGATGCTTAATGTGTAGTTTAAACATTGAAAATCATGATTTTTCTTTTAATAATATTTTTGATCAATAAAAGGAGTAAAATCCATTAAAGGGCAGGCAAAGGAAAGTGCTAAAAACCAAACAAAAAGGCTCTCTTAACTGTAAGCCAGAAGAGTTTGTTTGCATGTGAATTAATGGATGCAGCGGTGCCTTGCCTCCATGCTTTGACAGCACTGAGCCAGCCACCCCCTCGCATACTCCAACTTCCTCGTGACTCACACAATTCACTCCCATCTTTATCCCAACTGCACAGATGTTTTTTTTTTTTTTAAGAAAATTAAAATATAAGTTATTTTGTAAAATATTAAAAAAATAATAGAAACTTAAATCTACGAGAAATATTCTCTAATAATAACAAATTCATTTCTTATTTAAATCTATTGAATGGATCACCTAACAAGAAAAACCAACAAACATTTTGTTAGCATAAGCCATATAAGCCTAGCTTACTGAATTTAAAACGTGGTAACAAATTAAGATGAATTAAGAAAGGGTGTTTAAAAGTGAAGGTTGTACCTGTAGGCCATGCATTGAGTATATACCCACAGTGGCTATGGCTAGCGTTGCGGCAACTTGGGGAAGGTATAATTGACTCAATGCAGATATACGCCCATCCTGAAAAGCAAAGGCTAACGCTATCCCGTTTCAGAAAATGCCTGCCAGCTTCTTCGGATCTTGTCCGTTGCCTCCCTCTCTCTGGCTTATGATATCCGTCGGGGTCAACTTGTTATTAATTATTAGCCTAACGTCAAAACGAACATAATTTAGCAATAACTGGCATATACCTCCAATTATGAGGCTGTGAGTTCGATCGCTAACAACTTACACTTTCTAAAAAATACTGCTACCATTTTCAAAAATTTCAATATTACCTACTTGGTCACCAAACAAACATCCGTTAATATTTGAAACAAAAAGTTGAAGTAGAAAAACATAATACAAAACTTCTGTCACGCCAATTTTTCATTCAAAATATTAAATGGATGTTTGATATTATTTTGAAACATTTATGAAAGGTAGTATTGAAACTTTGGAAAAGATGGGAGTATTTTTTTTTTAGACAAAATGGGAAACTTTAGAAATATTTTTTGAAATTGAGCCTATATCCAGCTTCAGCTGTATGCAAATAATTAAGCTTTTTTCTGGCTTCATCTGCTCCTTCCTCCAAGGTTTTGGGCCCGGAATATCCAGCTCCACCATGGTTGACGCGATTTGCCAGCCTTGAAACCTCTGGCATTTTCTCAACACAGTCAATCATGGCTTCACCTTTACGTTCCCACTAACCAGTCACCCACCTATATAAAGCCCAATTCTCAAATCCAAAGCTTCATCAACACCAATATCTTCCTCATCTTCGAAAGCCTCTTTGTTATTACTTCTCTCTCGCAGAAACCAAAACATGTCTCCTCCTACTTCTCACAAAGCTAATTCAAGTTCAACAATAACAATGCTTCTGCTACTGTCTGTGCTCATGGCTTCTGTGATGGCCGCCACCGCCGGCAACTTTCTCCAAGACGTCGACATAACTTGGGGCGGTCCGCGGGCCCAGATGCTGAATGGAGGCCGACATCTCACGCTCTCACTCGACAAAGACTCTGGCTCTGGTTTCAAATCCAAGAAGGAGTTTCTGTTTGGAAGGTTTGATGTACAGATGAAGCTCGTCCCCGGAAACTCTGCTGGCACTGTCACCACCTTCTACGTAAGCTAGCTCTAAAGTCCAATACAAAACTCCAATCTTGATTACACAAACTAATTTATTCTTTCTAACTGATCGCAACCTGTTCTCGTGCAGTTGTCCTCTCAAGGAGCATCGCACGATGAGATTGACTTTGAATTCTTAGGAAACTCATCTGGAGATCCATACACACTACATACCAACGTCTACTCGCAAGGCAAAGGAGACAGGGAACAGCAATTTTACCTCTGGTTTGATCCCACAAAGGCCTTTCACACCTACTCCATCGACTGGTCTCCACAAAGTATCAAGTAAGAGGCTCCGATCCCCACCTGCCATGCACGTACGCATTAACATGATCAAAATCTTTTTTCCTAATTATTAAACCACACTTTTCTCTTCTTTTTGTTCAGGTTTCTAGTGGATGGCATTCCCGTAAGGGTGTTCCACAACTGGGAAAAGATTGGAGTTTCGTACCCGAAGAACCAACCCATGAGAGTTTATTCAAGTCTGTGGAACGCAGACGATTGGGCAACCAGAGGGGGGCTGGTTAAGACTGATTGGACGAAGGCTCCTTTCACAGCATCTTACAGAAACTTCAATGCCAATGGGTGCGTTGCGACGGCCGGTTCATCGTCCTGTGGCTCCAAGTTTGCCAATACTTTGCAAGGAGGAGCACAGAACGATCAAGGGCTGGATCCTAAGAGTAGGAATAGACTCCGATGGGTGCAGTCCAAGTTCATGATATACAATTACTGCACCGACTTCAAAAGATTTCCTCAAGGGGTTCCAGCTGAATGCAGGCGCCCAAGGTTCCTGTGAGAGAGGTTACATTACAAGCGAAACTCCAAAGCCATATTATGTGCAGTTTAACACAATCAACTGTTTCTGTGTCTCCTGTATTGTTAGTTCTCGTGGATATGATTTCATTTAATTTTTTTTATTCTTTTTGCATATAAATCTGGAAGCCATCAGTTATCTTGTTTTACTTCTTACTATATAAATTTCATTTTGAATAAATACACTTTTTTAGTTTTTAAATTTGTTTTGGAAGATTTTAATTTTAAAAAAATATAAGATAGAATAAAAAGTTTGTCACTAACCTACTTTAAAGTAGAAAGATAGAAATGAAATCCATGCAAAGCAAACCTTAAAGCACGTGGCATATTCAAAGATTAAAAGACTATCAAACTTGGGATACTTAAAAAGGGATCCATTACAAATTTAACATTTCGATTTATGGTGGTGTGTGGGTTTAAATTTTAAAAAGTTCCAAATATATTCCTAAACTTTGAAGGGTGATATATGTAGCCTTTGAAATTAACATGTTAATAAAATTATATTTATAACCTATTCCTACTAAATAAACATTAACTAATTTGACAGAATGTGTCAAATAGATGGTTGAAAAGGGTAGATAGCTAGATTTTTTTTAGTAGCACATTTATCGAATCCCTTTTAAATATGCTATATAATAATAATTTGTCTTCACGTCATGTCAAATCAACAAGCATCTATCCAATAAACATATTATCTCAAATACAATTTAAAGTTTACTCAGAGAATTTAAACGTTTTAGAGTTAGATACTAGATTTAACACAATCATCAAAATTTACAAACTAAGTTTATAATTTAACTTATAAAATAAATTATTCTTGAAAGTGATGTCATTTTTTTCCTCTTGGCCAACTCTTAAAACAGAGAATTCAACTTGAAACTCAAAACAACTCTTAAAATAGTTGTTATATAGTGTGCGGGTAAAATCCTATAACCCTTATACATAACTTCTCGAGAAGGTCTCGGCCGGTTACACACTCACACTCGAACGTCTCCAAGCAACTCTATATAATTTGACTTCAATTCACTCCGGCAAGGGAAACTACCCTCAAACTCCCAAGGATAATCATAACCGACCAACCGAGACAAGCTAACAACAACTTCAGCTCTCATTCCAACATGCAACCTCAAATGGCCATGTTCACCCAGGCCCTGTATGAGTCAAGAGCACCAACTTCCTCCGACTACGGATATTCGAATTCTTAATGTTGTGTAATTGTGATCGACCTAATTAACGATTGTTATATGAAACTTTGACACCTTATACCARGTATAAACTATTGATGCTACGACTAAAATTCTATATTGGCTAGATAAAGAACATGAGTATATAAATGGGCATATGAGACAATATATCTATTAGTACGAGGTCTTTTGGATAAAACCAAAAGCAAATCAATAACCGTTTATATTCAAAGAGGACAATATTATATCATTGTAGAAATGTGGAGGGGACAACTGTTCTCTAATTAGTGGTATGAGAGTTATGCCTGCCTCTAACTTAGCTGTGTCAGTAGAATATTTAGTAGTCATAGTGTGATACGTGGTTGAGATCTATTAGACAGATGGTGTACTCTGAAGAATAAGAGTTGAGACGAAATAAATGATTATTTGAGAGGATACTCGATGATATTTTGTTCCCAGGAGGGTATATTATGTCCAAAGTTAATAATATCATTGCCATTATAGAAACGTAGAGGAGTCCGTTGTTACTTAACACAAACAAATACCACAAAGTATGAAAATATTCTCATTAAAATTCCTAATACCAACAACCATGCCAATGTCCTCAAATACCATAAAGTGAATTTCACTCTGCATATAGTTGGATTGAATTTAATTTAGGCCACTTTATCGAGATAATTTGAATTAGAAAGTTTGAAACTTCATCCATCAATTTGGATTCAAAATTCTCAGTCTGATTTAAATCAACCCACCAGAATTCCCTAGCTGTCAAGATGGTACAGACCTTCCAAATATAAACCAGGGTTGATGGTCTGTTTGCTAGAAGATATTCCAGCATCTCGATAACAACGAGCCGCAGCTCGGGAAGGTAGTATCAGAGAGGAAAGATGAGAATTTAAATTTCGAAACGCGTATTAGGGCTTTTATGTACATGTTTATGCCATACAAATGCTTGCAAGATGCCAGCTGAGACGGATCTGGTTGACAAGCCAGCTGTCTCTCTCACGCGCAGCTAGATTTCTTTCGTCCCGTTTGTCTTCTTTTGGCTCTGACATAAGTGGGTCAACTAGCCGCTATATACAAGCATCAAGTTTCAAGAGCATGCAATACTTGGAAGCTTCACAATTCAGAAATAAAAAACGGCTTTTTCTGGTTCCCGCTTCTCCTTCTGTGACTTTTTAAATCTATATCAAAAACATATCCAACTCCATGATGACCAATAAATTTTTGCCAGCTCAAAATACTCTGGCATTTTTTAGTAGAGTTAGCCATGGCTGAATTTTCTTATATAAAGGCTTCATAAGTTCCATTTCAGCACCAAACCAACATTCCATCTTCTCGTCATCTCTGTAGACCTCTCTGCAATTCGTTTCCATTCATTTTTCGCCACAGTAAAGCATGTTTTCTTCGTCTAATAAAACATTAACAATGCTTCTACTTTCTATATTCATGGCTTCTGTAATTGCCGCCAGCGCCGGCAACTTTCTCCAAGAGGTCGACATTACTTGGGGTGGTCCGCGCGCCAAGATATACGATGGAGGCCGACAACTCACCCTCTCGCTTGACAAAGATTCAGGGTCCGGATTCCAGTCCCAGAAGGAGTATCTTTTTGGAAGGTTTGACATGCAAATCAAGCTGGTGCCTGGAAACTCTGCTGGCACCGTCACCACCTTCTATGAAAGTTTGAACATCATGTGAACTCTCACATTTCGCAATCAAATTTAAAATTCCCCTTAATAAACCTATCTAAGTTCTAACTCGATCTTTTCTGACGCAGCTGTCTTCTCATGGACCAGGGCACGATGAGATTGACTTTGAGTTCTTAGGCAATTCATCCGGAGATCCATACACACTTCACACCAACGTGTACTCACAGGGAAAAGGAAACAGGGAACAACAATTTTACCTTTGGTTTGATCCTACAAAGGCGTTTCACACATACTCTATCGACTGGACCCCACAAAGTATCAAGTAAGCGGACCTAGCAATAGCATTAGTACGAGTCTTGATGTTCAGTTCTATAGGACTCTGTTTCTTATTCCATAGCAAAACCTTTTTATCTTTTTCAGGTTTTTTGTGGATAACATTCCCATAAGAGTATTCCGAAACCGGGAAACAATTGGCATTCCGTACCCAAAAGGCCAACCCATGAGAGCTTATTCAAGTCTATGGAATGCGGATGATTGGGCAACAAGAGGAGGACTGGTCAAGACCGACTGGACACAGGCCCCTTTCACTGCGTCTTTCAGAAATATCAATGTCAATGCATGTGTTGAGCCATCTGGGTCATCATCTTGTGGCTCCAAGTTTTCCAATTCATTGCAAGGTGGAACACAGAATGATCAAGGACTAGATGCTACGAGTAGGAATAGAATGCGATGGGTGCAGTCTAAGTACATGATTTATAATTACTGCACCGACTTTAAAAGATTCCCTCAAGGTGTTCCAGCTGAATGCAAGCGCTCAAGGTTCCTGTGAGAGATAGCAACACGTCTCTAGCCGTTCCATGATTAGTTTCCCTGTTCTTTCCTATTTCTTGTATCCAGTTTGAAGCATTCAGTTCATGTAATTCTTTATTCTTTATTTGCACATAAAGAATTCCAAATAAAAGCCTATTATTCTTTCTACCTTTTATTCTGTATTAGTATTACTTCCTCCTCAATCCACACAAACACATGAATTCTCTCTCTCTCAGCCCCTTTATCAGATATCGACAACCAATTATGCCGATTTGCAGCCTAATTAAAAACCTGATACACTCTAGTCCATACGTCACTTGAAAGACTAGCAAAATGCCTAAAACAAGGTTCTCCTATCGCATGACTTTGGAAGGGGGAACAAAAAAAAGTGGTAGAAATTTGAACACTACTATTGACAATTGATCAAATTTATCAAACTACTAAAGGGCTAAGCCTGCATCTGTTCATCATGGTGTGAAATTCCCGAAGCTGATGCTCACGTTTCAATTCTGTATTTTATTGTGGATTGTTTGGTGCATTAGCGTGGTTGGCCTATGATTGTCGAATTTTAGACGAAACAAGACAATCACAACATAACTTGCAAGATTTAACTTCAAGGTTACCGTGTAACTTTATTATCTTCCAATCCCCCATATTCTTTTACTCATAACCTTGGAGACTCGATTTCCTTCAGAAGAAAAAAAATAGTTCCTAGAAATTTATTAAAATTTCAGAACGTATTAAATCATACCAATATTCTTAATGTCTATAGTCGTATTTTTTCTTTTTTCAAACACCTTAACGTAAGTGATTACAGGATATCATATCAGTTCGTCAAAAGGACTGAAAGATGAATAATAATTAGAGATGAGATGCTCAAATTTCGCCAGTTAAAAGCAGAAGGTATAAGCATATACTTGATAGTGAAAATTTCTCTCGTGAAGAAGCGTACCTGCAGAGCTTCTCAAGGTTAATCCAGCCTAATGAGTCGCTTTTCTGCTTTTAACTTCTTGATCTTCATCTTTGTTCCATCAGCTTTCAAGTTTAAAACTCCATTCTATTTCCTTCTTTCCAGAAAATTCTCCATGTACGAGAGTTAAGACGCCTATGTTTTGCTTGACGTTTTCCTCATTATTCTTCTTCGGAGAACAACTTCCCTTGTTTTTCACACTAACCGATTCCTTCAATTGCTTCTCGATATTCGATCAACTCACTTCAAAGCTCTTTCCATCTGATCTCCTCTCAAATTTCACAGCGTTTTTCCTCCTCTATCAACGTCGTCTTTTAACTCCTTGAACTCCACGGTTCCACCATTCGCTTCTTCTCCGACGCTCTTCGCTGATGTCGAATCGTCTGGCACTTGCGCGCTGCTGCTCTCGATCGAATGACTTAAAATGCCATTTTCCCCTCCATAAATTGATCGATTGCACTTTCCTTCTCTCTTCAACTCACCAATCTCTACCGCCAATTCGTTTATCCTTCCTTCGGTTCAGGGCGGAGCCAGAGATTTGTTTGATCGAGCAAAATTTTGAACTAACATTCTATATATAATTTTTGAGAATAAAATTTAGCGAAAGCGACAGAATCTTCAAAATGTTACGTATAATTTTTGAGTCGCCGCAACCAAGGATCTTTGGTGGCTCAAAATTTTAGTGTCTATTTTGAATGAATTTATTTATTTGTTATTGAGATTATGTAATAACTGATAGCAGTTGTCATTCTATTGACATGGAGATACGCGATGTTGACATATGTGATCAACTTGTTCAAATTTTCATACATTTTTATCTAGGCTAAGCTTGAAATTGTGCAATATTTACAATTTTATTTGACATGTGCTAGATTTGCTATTATTTTAGGCTAAATTGTTACATCTGCATTTGGCCCTATACTTTATGAATGACAGAAGAAAAAATTGTCACATTTTTTTAATTTTTCTTTTGGCTGAATGGTGATTTTTGCATTTTTTCCGAGGACTAGAATGAAATTGAGCAAAATATAACCAACTTTGATGTACCGAAAGGTTTGGATTATTGAGTTGCAGCCCAATAATGAGTAGTTTTGTGGGGCTTAAAATGGGCCATAAACTGGAGAAAGAAGCCCAAATTGGAGCCCGTCGCGTGATCATTGGAAACCCAGGCACTGGCTGACGCAGAGGAGAGCCGCAGTTTTATCATAGCAATACCAATTGGCAAGTACCAAGTGGGAATTGGGACTGTGATTTGTGATCATTTGTTAAAGACAACGGTGTTAAGACAACGGTATGGTAACATAGTCCAACTTTTATTTTGATTTCACCAAAAACTTCATATGAATAGAGATAATTGTCCTATATCATCTCTCATTCCGTGGTTAGTACAGGACTTTGTTTGCAATCACTTTACAAACTCAACAATATGTTCTTTCTCTTCTTCYTTAGCTGAGTCGGTCCTTCTAACCCCGTACTTATTCTTCCCTTTCATTTTCGTACAGAAGAAACATTCACGCATATAAGTTATAAAAAGCAAAAAAACAAGTACATTAAAATTTTCAAACACAACGTACTTCTTCTGTTGTTACTTTCACATTTACTTGTTCATTTTTCCCTTCGATTTTGTGTTTTGTTTTCCCCGTCAAAAAGGCAGAGCCGAAGAGACAAGTGCAGAATGCAGAGAATGGTGGAAAGTGAAAACTAGAACTGGCATTTGGCAGCCAGCGACGACATATCGACCGAGAAGCTGAAGCTTGGTGGTGGCGAGGCAGAGCAGCAGAGCGACAATTCCTGACCAAAAATCGATCACGAATAGGGAGTATTAATTGGGTGCGGGTGGGAACATAAATGCATTGCATGTGTACCACTGCCCATCATCATTCAATTCATCTCCGCACTTCTTTGCCCATCCAAACACGCCTCCCCTCCCCCTTCCCTCGTGGATAAAAGAAATATACTTCTATTTCCAATAATCACACCAATTTTCACCCCTCAACAAATTTATTTTTTCCTACATATATTATATAAAACGATAGTGTATTAAGTTCATTTTTACGAGTGAAATTATAAGAGGAGCAATAACTATCTAATCCCAATTCATGTTCTCTGTTGGTGAGTAGACTTCATGAATTATGCTTCATAATGATAGGAAGAGCCGACATCAAATGATCAAAAAGTAATGTTATTATGAATGTCGGATTGCCACAAGTTAGTTATCCCTGTGGTAACTTTTCTGACACCTCTAGCTTCAAATTCTGAAGGTCTTAATGATCTATATACCATGCTTTAATGGTTTATATTCGTATTGGAAATCAAAATCAAACTAGGTTTTACCATTTTATTTCGCACAAAATTTCTATTCTCGTTCGGCTCATCTTAGAAAGTTAAAAGTTACCGGATAAATTATTGTGTACTCCTTTAACTCATTCTCACCACCATTAAATATTTGACAATTAATAAATAAATGTAAAAGCAGTAATTTTAAAGTTGTCAAATTTGGAATGGCGGTGATATTTTCCTTGATAATAATTAACCAATCGGGGCCCTGATATATATTATATATGTTCAATCTCCTAATTATTAATTTAAATAAGCGGCAAGGCAACCGACCCTTTGCTTCGGCTCAAATCCCTCCGGGTCTGATCATATGCCTTTTTTTTCTGCCTGCTCAATCATTCTCACGACACCCCGGAAAAAAAGTTGTGTAATTGCTGTCCCCTTTTTCCTTTAGAGGGCATTTGATGGCTAGTGAAAAGTTAGAATTTTGAAGATTTTAAAATCACTAGATTACCGATGTGTCGGATTTTAATTAAGAAATAGATTAGCTGTAAATAAATATAAACTAGAAGTAATTCTTTTCAGAGTTTGAATCTGGAGTGTGTTTATTTATTTTTTTGGTAAAGGAGTGGTTAGATGAGAGTGGTGGGGGATTGGGGAGTGGCCGTTTTGGGTAATGAAGTTGAAGTTGAAGAAGTGCAACGAATGGGGATGTGATTATTGTTTCTTTAGAATCAGAAGGGCTTAATGGTTTTTAAAGGGCAATCGAATCCAATTTTGGTAGCCAAAAGTTTCAAATAATTATTCAACTTATAATACCCCTACTTTAAAAAAATAAAACAAGACTTGTCTCTCTATAAATAAAGAAATAGATAGCTCAAGAAAATTAAATGTAATTTATAAACATTTGGTGGAACTAGTCTTTTGTAGCTTTTGAAATTTGAAAGAAATTTTAAAACTGTAATTCATCATACTTTGATTATTGGACTATTTTGGTCCACTCGTGTTTATTTATTTAGACCTATTCAGAAACTAAACCTATGTTTTAGAAGTACTATGTTTATTAAAATAAATAAAAGTTCAATATATGGACCAAGATAGTATTTAAACTTAATATTGAAATTGATTTGATAAAAATTGTACTTTTAGTCTTTCCCTTTAAAAGTATTTCGTGCTAGTTTACCAAACATTTATCTTTTCTTTTAAACCATTTCAAAAACTTTCTTTTAACTTCTCTATATTTAAAAAGATTTAAAATTTTAATTATAAAATTAAACTATTGCCCAATATATTAGTATTTAAAACGTAATTATAAGAAACAAATATTTACGCGAGTTCAAAAGAAAAAAAAGTAGTTATTCTTATTAGAAGAGAAATTCCCTTCTTATTTTTCTCAAAAAGGGTGGTTCCGTTAAATTCAAATCGGAAAGGAAAAGGAGAGAAAAAAACAACCACCATGATCATGACTAAAATGGTACATGACTCATTTTGAAAACGAAATCATTAATTGAAAGGTAAAATTTCAAAGAGATAGATCAACAAAAAGGATGGATGATGAAAATTCATCAACCTCAAATAATTCCACCCATAAAATTAAAACGATATAAATATATGTTAAAAAAAAGTTGCATCATCTTCAATTATATGGCCGTTTGACATGGGTAAAAATTGGAAATATTTGGTGTGATTTTTTTTAATAATATCGTGAAAATTTGGGTACTAAGAATAGGTACGGATGTGTGGGAGATGGCCCAAAAAGAATTAAAAAAAAAATAAGCAGAAACGTTAAAAATAGAGAAGAGAGGGAGTGTTTGGATGGCGAGAAAATGGAGAGAGTGAGAAAGTGGGAAGCAAGAAAAGACATGAGGTGGCTCTGATCACATGGAGCCCCATATGCCCAACAAAACCAAATCTCTCCCCCAATCCCAATGACCAAATACTCCTTTCTTTGGTTTCCTTCTTGGAAGCATCACCATTCACCACCACCATATCATAACCATCTCAATTAATTCATTGGTTTTTCTAATATTCTAAAATGGGAATTAGGAAATTATTTAAAGTAGGCAAAAAAAATTTTAATTTTGGGGGCTCTAGGTGGGTGGGGCTACTGATTTGCGCCACGTGGCGGCCATGCGAAGGCTAGTGATGGTAGATCATAGGATGAAGAGAGTGGGGAGGCACATGGGTGGTGTTGGCTTCAAGAAAATCATGTGATCACATGTGCTTTCTCTTTTTTTCCTCCTCCTTTTCGTGGGCCCAATTTTCCATCTCTTTCTCTCTTTCCACCACGCGCCACACCTCTTACCCATTGCGCGTCGGTTTCTCACCTCAAATATTATAATTATAATATAAGGTTTTAACTTTTACCCAAATTTGAATTAAATTGTTGTTGATATAAACTCATCCTTATATTATACACGCGTTTTACGCTTAAAATACGACACAGCCCCGATATTTGAATTTTTAAATTTATTAATTCTATTATTAGTAGCTCAGTCGTTAAAGATATCTTTTTTTTTTTCCTCTTTAAGATGCTTAGCCTCTATTCTCTATTTGTTTGAACTATAAAAAGTTATTATTAATTCTATTCGGATATTTAAAATTTTTACAATATGAGAGTAGTCAGACAGTTATATTTGCTTCTTTAAAAAGTTTTAGATTCATCAAATCCAGACGCTGTGGTTCGTAGTCACGTGCTCTAATCCTCTTAACTACAGGTCTAACTGTTTTTGGGTTCCATATTTTGAGATTCTATGTTTATAATTATGTCATGCTTGCTTTTGGTACTTCGAAGAAATAATGCACGATGGATTAAATCTACTCATGGTAAAACTTTATATGGTTTGATGTACTTTTTATTGGTGTATAAGGATATTTCTGTAATTTCTTGTTAAGCTTATAAATACCTTTTCTGTTTCATCAATAATACGAGGGTGTTAAATTAGTTAAGTTTGCAAAGTTGTCACCTTTTATCTCCAACAAGCGGTCCAAGTTCAATGCAAGTCAAAAGAGGTTTTAGATTTGAATTTTCATTTTATATTTGTGATGTACAACTTTTAAAACATGTTAATATACATACCAAAAATAGTGTAATCTAGTTTGGGTGAGTGAAGTAATAAAATAAAAAAATGGTTGATTTCTTTTAACTTACTTTGTTTTAAAATTTTAATTTAGATTTTGAAAATGGCTTTAAAAAAATTGACAAGAAATTAAAGAAATACGTTTTCTGAAATGAGTATTTATGTAAAATAAAAAATATATATAAAGATAAAATAACTGTGGAGATTAAAATAGATATTTTAAAGGATAGGGCAAAAGAATTTACACCGAAGATAAAAGGCAGAAAATGGCATTTGGTTGCCGCTCTGCATCAGGTGACAAAAGGTTTCACTCGCGTACGGCGGCGTTTGAAGCACACTAAAATCCAAAAGTAGAGGACTTGGGGAAGCCAAAAATGGTGGGCCACAGCTTCGTTGGCATTGACATTTCCAGAGCTCAACAATAATTTAACATCCCCCCTTCTTCCTCTTCACACGCCCTTCGTCCATCTCTCTCTCGCGGCCATGGAGAGAACTCTAATTCAGAGACTGAAACTCGCCATTCAGGGGAAACCGAGAACCGCGCCTCGCCATAAATCCCTAATGCTCAACACATTGCACAAATCTTCTCCCGCCTCTTTCCGCCGGAGCCGGACGCATCGCGACGCCCACCGCCGGATCGGGAGGAAATCGAGCCGCATTGCGAAGACGATTCGGCAGAAGGAGAGGCGAAACGGCGGCGTTTCCACCTCCGAGGAAGCCGATGAGAAGGAGGCGGTGGAGCGGAAGATTCGCGCGCTGCAGAGCATTGTGCCTGGAGGGGAATCGCTCGGCGTCGACAAGCTATTTGAACAGACGGCTGAGTATATAATGAATTTGCAGCATCAGGTGAAGGCCATGAGAGCCCTCTCGAGCTTTTTCGAGACGTTGGAGAAGGAGAAAAGCAAGTGTGGAGGTTGAAGTTGCTTTTGATTTTGATTTTTTTTTTTTCCTTTTTTCTCTTCATTAAGTTTATTTTTTCTTTTTCCAAGTGAGGAAAGATCAAGCGTTTGATTCTCAGTCGCTCCATCGTTTCCTCTGGGATCAGGATTTTGAATCCTTTTCCTCTTTATCTTCATCTTCATCTTTTATACCACTTGCTGGTAAATCTCTGTAGCTTTTGAATGAATAGAAAATCAAAGTCGATATGGATAGGGATGACAGATTAGGGTGATATTTCAACAATGTGTTTATGCTGTTTGATATTTCTGGGTAGAGCATATGTTTTCAAATATGAAGTTTGAAGATTCGAACGGGACGTAAATTTTTAACCTTGTGTTCTTAATAGTTAATAGTAATCCAATAGTGCCATCATGATGTTTTTAATTCTTAAAAAGGGTGGATTTCAAAGTAGTTCCTTACCCAAAATGATCACTCTTTGGAATAAGTTATTGGTTTGAATTAATTTTTTTAAAATACGTTGAAAGTGTATATATTTATATTATTGTGGCATTGGCAATTGACTCAGAATTTTGTCTTTGGGTACTGCTATCGTTCATGTTTAATTATTTTTTCCTATTTTTGGTAATTATATTACTGCTTTCAATCACACTTTTATTGGAGGATCTACCATCATAATCTTTCATCATGCCAAAAATCGATGAAATCCCATTTCTCAACTAGAAATTGATTTTTAAGGAGATTGTTGTTCATAAAATGAATAAAAACAAAAACTAAACTAATACCAATAATAAAAATTGTGTAGACAATCGTTCATAACTCTTAGCAAAAGGCCAGTATTTACTCCTCTTGCAATTGGCAAATACTGTTTTACTAAAATAGGTCTAAAAATACCTAGCAGTTCTCTTAAAACTTATTTGATTTATCCTCAGATAACAAGATTCACGTGGGCCCTCTTTCATTGTTTTACTTTTAAACTATCATATCATTCAATAAGCTCAGCTTTCTCTTCAAGGGTCAATGGTGATGGTAAGTTTTGAAGTCTGAATCACACAGCTCAGTTATGGCAGCCTGTTGGGTTTACAACATATAACAGTGATCCAATAAATGAACTATCATACTTATTCAGAGTACTTCTGTTCTTTTCTCTAATACAAAACTCTGGTGAAAATCATGGCCAAGGTCTAAAAAACTATAGTATTTTGAGATAAACAAGATCTATCTGTGGACGAAATCCATAATCTTATGGACAAAAAGTGTCTTCCAACTAAACACAGGGAACCCGACTCAGGCAATTTCGAGCCACGAACATTGTTCTTTTAGTCCATTCGGCGGAACCAATTAGAACATCTTGCCAAAACTCCATTCGAGTGCTTATCTAATACATTCTTGTCGTGCCATACTCGACTGCGCCAGCGTTTCTGTGGGCAGTGGCAGCTGCGGCAGCAATGGCTCCAGGATCATATTGAGCGTTTACCTGCAAACGTGCAGCACAGTCATTGTTTTCCGACTTGTGCACCCCTACACGCGCCATAAAAAAAGGATTTGAGAAAGCACCAGTAGCTGCTGTATCTGCTGCTAGTTTAGCTGCCATTCCACATTGAGGGGCCTGTTTGCATTGCAAGGAAGTATCTTGCTCGGTTCCTGTTGCTGGTCTTTCTTCATTTTGGCTGCAAGATTGGCGGTAATAATATGTTGGATGGATAGCGTGAGAAGGGAGAGCACTTCTAATTAACATTCTCGGGTCGTAGGCATCTTTAACGACACTTCCATTGTCATACGGCATGACCGGGCCTGCAATTCTTCCAGGCTTGACTAAAAAAAGATACAAAATTAGAACAGGTGCGTTTAGATACAAGTTAAAGAGGATCACTCTAGAAAGTACGCAAAACAAATAATAATAAGGTACTCAGAAAATACCTTGGGTAGCAGCAATCCTCTGTGCTGCTGGATCTCTGTAATGCTGGTTGTTGAACGACCCTGCTGGCGCATATCGGTCTCTAAAAGAAACAATATTTGATGTTGCTTTTGGAGGAATAGTATTTGACTGTACAGAAGACCTGATAGAGTACCCACAGATTGAAAAATTCAATTATCATCATCATTGGAAATTCACTCTACTATGACTCGATGTGTCACATTTGAAGCATTCACAGGTTCAAATAAAGCCAGAAGGATACAAACCGTTGGGGAGATGAGAAGTAACCTTGTTTACCTGGGAAGAGAAGCGTGCTTTCTTTCTAGAGGATAAACTGGTCCACTTTTCCCTCCATTATCTTCGAGATGAGCAAATTGTTTTTTGAACTGATCGAGTGCACTGCATGAGCAAAAACACAAACCAGAATATCAGTGTCACGAATATCCCCTATTCATCAAATCAAATTCATGATTTGGAAATTGAAATAGAGAGAGAATTTGGGACCTTGGATAGAGAAAATTTGATCTCTCAGTTCCGTTCAAGTAGTCTTTCAGCAGTTGAGGATGGTATTCTAGTATCTCACGGAATATCAGCTCGCGAATGTCGTCCTTTGTGACCTTTCTCCTCTCAAATTCAAATTCCACCTTTGAGATTTGCTGGCAAGAAGGTTCTCTCTCAACTTTTGCCAGCCCCTTAAAGTAAGGATCTGCCAATGCCTAATGACAAAGGAAATGTTTTCAACATGTTGGAACGTGCAACCAATTATAGATTTTGAAGCACATTGGAACAACAATGATTCACATATTTACTCCATATCATACTATAATTTAGTGAAAGTAACCAAACACAAGATAAGTAAAAGCAAGGAGTACATAACAAAGGTAGCAAGGAAAAAATGTAGTTGATCAAGCATATAACAGCAGACCTCTTGGGCAGTAGGTCGATCCTTCGGATCAAATGCAAGCAATCGTGCTAGCAATTGCAGGGCTAGAGGATCTGCATTTGGAAACTTCTGTGAAAAGGGTATTGGCTGCTTCTTCCTCATACTAGTTAAGTACCTCCTGGCCTTTTCATTTCTTACCTAAGGCAACACATTTGGAAATTGATAGTAACGAAAACTTTATATGACAAGATTCAAAACATCAACATTTCTCCCCAACTATACATGATAAAAGATCACTTACTCGAGAAATGGTGTCTAAGGAAGGCGTTCCAAGGAGATCTGTCATCAAGTCGAGCTGATGAACAACATTTTTACCAGGAAAAAGTGGTTTTCTGGTTAGTACTTCAGCAAATATGCAGCCGATACTCCAAATGTCAATGGCAGGAGTATACTATATCCAGACAAGAAAGAAAGAAAGGAATTAGGCATAAAGAAGAAAATATCAGCCACAAAATGAGGAACATCATTATTACATATTAAAACGATAAGAATTTTCAATAGTGAGAAAGTGAAATAATTTATCTCATCTGACTAGCTACAACGGATTATAACTAAAGCTATATTTACTTCTTTTCATTTAGGTCTATAGATTATTTTGAGATTCAAGATTATCTGGTTTACCTGTATGGAAAACACCATATGAAGCTAGCAAGGTTAAATTTGTAAGAAATGTCATCAAGGCAGACCTTAGAGAAGAAAGAACCACAGAGCTCGGGTGCCCTATACCATCTAGTAGCAACATAGTCCTGCACATACCATCACATGCTATAAGTCTCACGCTCTACGTATAAATCCAGAATTTCTATGATATTGAACATGAATATACTGGTATATTAATTGGCCTACCGTCCAAAATATTGTTGTCGGCGTGTCACTGAAAGCAACTCTAGCCAATCCGAAATCACAAATTTTGAGTTTGCAATTTGCATTTGCCAATATATTCTTTGGTTTTAAATCCCGATGGTAGACATTTGCTGCAGTAACATAGATCAAAGTCAGGTAGTTTACACATTATATCCAACTATTACCATACACTAAAAACAGAAGGATAAAAATTATGGCAACAGGAAAAAGCTGATTATGCGTAGCATAAATGCTATAATATGAGAATCATAAAACACCCCATCCAGCCAAAAAGAGAGTGGGGAAAAAATGTCAATCATTACAACAGCACTCCAGCTCCCCAAAAAGTCTTTACTCAGATAAAGTGTTGATGCGATGCACTATTCAAGCACCTGTGTGAATATATTTCAACGCACGGAGCAACTGGTACAGAAAAAATTGATAGTGCTCTTTTGTTAAATCATCATTGGCCTTGATGACTTGATGCAAATCTGATTCCATCAACTCAAACACAACAAAGATATCTTTGAAGCCTCTACGAGAAGGTGGCAACATAATGTGTTTGATTTCGACAATATCGGGATGACGTAGAAGTCTGAGCAGCTTTATCTCACGAAGAATACGGGCAGCATCAGATACATGTTCAAAAATATCATGTATCTTCTTTATTGCCACTTTTTCATTTGTGAGAGTGTCAACTGCTGAACAAACCACCCCATAACTCCCCTTTCCAATAACTTCCTGGATTTTGAATCTGTTGGCGTCACCATATTCAGAAAAAAAATCCAATTCCGTAGAACTCTGTTGCACAAAAATCCATCTAGATTAAGATACATTATACTGCATACTCATACAGGATATTCATAACCAGCAAAAAAACAACCGACCAGCCAATATAGTCGAAAAATTGAATGAAATTTTTTAGTATAGTTTTCGAAGGGACATCAATAAATGGTATCGGATACACTGCGAGACGGATTAAGGAAGAAGAAATGACATCTAAATGAATTAAAGAGAAGTACGACCATCAGGTGAATTTTGCACAAGAGTATTGAATGGCAATATTAATGACATCTACGGCTGCAACTGCAAATGCCATGTTTCACATACATGGTCTATCCGTTTAATCAAAACCTAATGTCTTAACTCTTATAATTCGTAATTTCATTTCAACTAAATGTTGCAACAGTTATAAACTACACAAATACGGCTACACTACAAGATATTTGACATAAATCTTGCATTAGAAACACTCATACAAATTTAGGAGACAAAAATCTGAGGTATCAGAAAGAACTTTCAACAAGATAATAAGAAAGAAAGATAAAACTTCACCTTCTTGCGGTGTTCAGGCTGCATTTCCAGAAACTCTCAAACCCAACTTCCAGAACAGTGAATACGAAATCAGAAATCCAGTTCAGCACCAAAATAGAAAAACTTCAATTGTTAATCGACTAAAGGAAGACTCAACCGCATTTTCCCCACCTACCCCTGCTCCGGATCACAAACCCACAATCCCTCCTCATGCTCCTTCCCGAATCCTCCACGGAACATAATAAAATTACCCAAACCAAATCCCTCATACACTTCCCCACCTGCAATCCCAAAACCTGAACCAAAAACTCAAGCACCAAACCAGAACAACAGACACCACCAGCTACCATAAAGTAACCAAAATCAAACCGAGCATGGAAACTTTTTGCATTCCTACTCGATGAATGCCCTAAACCCCAATTGCTCAGCGATAGAGAGGAGCAGGTAACAAAGACGAAAACGAACTCGGAGATCTGCTGGCGACTAATGGAGAAGCGAAGAGACTAGGGAGAAGGAAGCAGCGCCAGAAGAGTCGAGAAATGATTTATAAACAAGATAATTTCGAGTGAAAAAGCAGAAATCTAGGAGACCCTCTTCCTTTTTTTGGCTTTTTTAATCCTTTTTTTCTTTCGCTTTGCATCTTTTGCCTCCGTATATTCGTAGCCCAAAACGTATGGATAGGGATGGATGGATGTACGGCGGTAATACCAGGACTCTGTATTTTGGGAAACGGAGATCACAGAAATCAGAGAATTCGTCCGAAAAATTTATTACTTCCAGTTCCAGCTAACCTGATTAAAGAACACAATAATCAATAATCTATGTACTTTTTTGTACGATGAGATTTGATAACTATTTTGAAATCTGTTGAACTGCCCAGCTAAATGGTTGATTTCGACGATTTTATTCTGTTTTTTTATTTTCTATTTCTAACCATTTTCTTTTTTCATAATCTTCTTGAAAATACTGTATTTTCATAATAATGACCAAATTAAAAAAATGTAATTTATGTTTTTTTTTTAAGATGAAAAACTAAAAATAACATCCTTATGTTATGTTTTGTTTTATCATTCAAGTAGCATCACTTTGTTGAAAAGTCCAGAAAAGTGACTAAACAAAAATCAAGAAAGGAAATTTGAAAAGTCCACAGTGACTTTTTTTTATATATCTATAAATAAATTGTGCTTTTTTTTCAACCTACGTACAGAAATGTATTGAAAGTCTTACTAAATATTATAAAGTTATATGTTTGTATCAACATGAGCATAGTTCAACTATTAATAGATCTTATATTATTTATTGAATGTTCAATCTCTCATCCCTTCATTTGTATCAACATGAGCATAGTTCAACGATTAATACATCTTATATTATTTATTGAATGTTCAATCTCTCATCCCTTCATTTGTTATACTAGGTTGTTGTATGCTTATATATACAATCATATAAATAGAGTTTGTTAGAGTTTAATTTTTGTCTTAAATTACAGTTTTATCCCCATGTAATTTCAATTTACTTTATATGTTTCGAAAATATTCATTATTGTTCTTGTACTTTGATTGTTCCAATGTCAATTATTGAAATTCCAACATAAATATTAAATGATTGGTTGATACATTATAAACGTTCCTTTAAGGATTAGAGATCCAAATCTCCACTTACACTCTCCTTGTATAACAAAAAAATGTTATTATTATTGAAGTGTAACATAGATCTATCGTGATTGTGGATGCGACAAACAATGTTTTACCATGTGATTTAAACCGTTATTTTGATTATAAATTGAAAATAAATATATGCCTAGTACAATTAATAATGTTCTTTAGAAATATATTAGAGCATATTTATTCAGTAACTAATAACATTAATTATTTTCTTTCTATCAATCCTCATCGAGAGTAGAAACGTCTAATCAGCTTTAATAAAATGATAAAAGTAACCATCACTCTAAAAAGTATAGATACTTACTAAAATTAATATTAAATACGTTGAAATCGTAAATATAGTTTAATTTAAAACACTAATACACTTTCAAAAGGTTATCATTTATTTACCTATAATATTGGAAGTTTTGAATACTTGGAGAGGTATGAGCCCTCGACCCCCTTGTTAAACAGTCGAGCCGCTTGTAATTTTCGATAGGATGGACGCTCACTGCCCTCAGATTGACAGAGATTCATTATTTTTTAGGCAAGGCGATAGACCTTTATTAGTTTAAATAAGTACTTATTAATCTTTTCTAAATTCGTTGGTATGATATTCCAAGTATGAATTAAGAAAAATGTAATGTAAAAAACATGTAATATTTGAACCTAAACCATCAAAACGAGGTCCCAAAGGGACAAAACAGGTGGGCAACTTGGCAATCAACGGTGATGGGAGGATGCGGTGGGCCACAACCTTAAAAAGCCCATTTGCCACTAATAATTAGCTTCCCTCATCATAAACCCTTATCACGGATTTCTTTTAATATATATTATTATTTTAAAAACTTATTTCCAAAATATTTTTCAAAACCAACGGTGATATTGGGGGCAAAGGTACGTTGGGCTTGGCTCGAGTCTCCCTCAACTTTGAAAAGTATTTAATTAATGTATAAATTGTGTGTTATTTTTAATGACATCGTGTAATAGTCCAATGTTCTTACTCGTGTCTCTCTTGATTCGAGTCTCCGAATAAATTATTATTATTCCATATTTTCTAGAAATATATTTTTATTTTTTATTTAAGAAAAAAAACTGCCGTGATACAATAAAAAATAATTTTTAATTCCAGTAAATTATCTTTAAAATAATTTATGCCTAAAAAATTATATAAGTCTTAGAGATAAATTGATTTATTATCTCACGTTTCATTCTCTTTCTTCTATATAGTACTTAGAAATTTTTGTTCTATGTTATATTCAACTGACTTTAATTAGATAAATTGTAAGTTTAGTTCATAGTTATTGAGAGTTGTATTTAAGCCATTTTTTAACTTTAAAAGATATACAATAGGTCTCCTAAATTTCAATTTTCATTTTCAAGGACAGATCCAACCTATTAAATTACTTTTAAATTAAAAAAAATTATTAATTAAACGACCTTACTTGAATAAGATATTTTATTCTATGTCTATTAGTTCAATAACTCGTTAGATTTAAAATATATATATAGTTATAGACTTATTAGATATAAAATTCAAAGTGTAAGAATTAATTTGATTCTTTTTCTTTTTATGTTGAGAAACCTATTAAATACAATATTGAAACTTTGAGATTTTTTTTTAATTTCACCAATCTAGTATCAAAATATGTAACTAAATATATATAATTATTTTTATATAATACCTCTGAGATAAAGTTCTAGATTTACAATTTATAATTTTTATATTCAAGTCTCAAATTTGATGGCATATTTACTTAATTTTAAATAAAGTTTTTTAAACAAAATTTCTAGATGCACGGCTGATGATATAATTGGGGGGCTCCCATGTGCAATATTTAAAAATAAAATAAAATCCCAAGAAAACATATTAATATTATAAATTATAATACCATTTTTGCTTCTGTTTTTCTTTTTTCTTTTTCTGTGTTTAATTTTTGGTTTTGATCTTCGTCCTTTATTAAAGTAAACTGCCACATTTTCCAATTCAATTAACTTTGGACCTTAATCGGAAACATTAGGATTATGTATATGATTTATCGCTATTGTCGTTTTCGTCCTCATCATGTTGCGTTTTGAATTATTAGGTTAGTTTTTGGTTATTGGTAATGGAATCCAACCCTGCACCCCATCAAACTTTAGACGTTTCATCTAACTTTAATTATATTGAATCGATTATTGTGTGTGACAATTTAATATAATTTAATAATATATTATTTATTTAATAAGCTCTTTGGCTAATTAATTATATTAAATTGAGTTTTCTTGCACACCACATAATTTTGAGGTAGATTATCTTCTTCT